AAAAATTGTTTCGCTTCACATCCTCCTCATGCGAAATCTGATAAGGTTTAGCAACCTATGGCAAGCAGTGAATGAGTACAAAGTTCGTAACTAGAAGAGATAATTGTTTGTATACTTTTTCATTTACTGTTCTATGTTTTAAGAAAAATAAGTTTAAGAACTTATTTGTAAGTAGTAATAATATATATATATATGTATATATATACATAACTGCTATGTGACTGTGTTTTACAAAATGCTAGTCCACTAAAACATAGCCAAGACAGTTTATTTTGTAAAGGCCAGTTTTGTATTCTTGGATACGATAATGGGTGCAGGTGTGCCGCGTAACATTATACATTTATATATATATTTATTATTTTTATTATATTGACCTTTCAGCTGTGCCTGGCTAACATTACAGAAGTTGCAATGAGAAGATAAATATACCACATTAAAAGTTATAGTATGGATACTGTCTTGGTCACTTAGTGGCTACAATGGTCATTAAAAAGATCGATTTTGTGTGAAAGAATTAATAGAATATATATATATATATTCATTTGTTAATTTATTCTAATTGTAATTTCATTTTATTTAGTACAATATGAACCAGAATTTAAAGACTTGTTTCAATTTTCAGTCCATTGTATGGCTATCATGAAAAGGAACAGTATTTTTTGAAAATTTGCCTATATAACCCTCTAATGACCAAAAGGTGAGTAATATATATGTATATATGCGCCATTAATATTACATACTTTTATGAAGCTGTAAGAGACATTATACTGAAGATCCAGTTTGTAAAATTTCTTGTTTAGTACTCTGTATTGTTTATCTAATCATCAGAAAATACCTTAATCTTTTATATTCTAAGTTTTTATTATAAGCAAAGGAAATTATGTCTCCGAGTAAAATGTTTGTTGATAATATTTTTGGTACTGCACTTGCAGCAAGTATTATTTTTGTTCATGATTAAATCAAAATAAATTGAGTTGAAGGATATGAAACATGTACAGTTTTATAAGTTTATGTACATGATTGATGTGGTATGTCACATAAACATGGCTTTCTGTTTCAAGTGATTTTTGTATGCATTCTAGAGTAGCTGAGCTGCTACAGACTGGTGCAGTGATGAACAAAGTGATCCAACCACATGAAGCACATGTGCCATACATCTTACAGGTTGGTTTTCTTTTCATTAAACCATTGATTAACTCTTTCAGCACGGGCTCAGTCTCACAGACCGACCTCATAATCATTTTGTGCTTGTTATAGTTTTCATGCTATAACTTTTGAATTAAGTAAGCATATCTTCAAGAAAGTTTGCAGATTATCAGTAAACATTACAAGGCTTTCATACGCAAAATATAATATTTTTTTATTAATTTTTAAGATTTTGTAAGTAATGTTTTTCTCATGCCTTTTATCTTTTTTAATGTTGACTATCCAACATGCAAAGTAATTTTGATTTTAAGATTAAAAATACTTTTATCCATCAGAAAATTTAAAAATTTCACTTGTGAAATCTTTATAACCTCCAGATAATTATCAAATGTTTTTTAAGAGAAAACTTTATATTTATCTGTTATTTTCACTATCAAATCTGTTTATGGTTTTGGTCGATTTGACAACCTCTTAACCACCATAAAAATTAGTAAATAAATATAAATTATGCTTTTTTCATTCTAGATTGACTACGGATTATAACACAAAAACACAAATGTTTAGTCTAAATAGCTTAAATTTCAATGAAATAAGGCAAGCTTTTAGTAAAGATTACAAATGTTTTGTACACAAAAAATCAGGATTTTTAATTAAGTATTTTTATTACAGATCTATCTGTGAATATGTGGAGCCAGAGTGTTGAATAGTCTGAGTGCAAGGTAATTTTCATGTTATGATTAACTCTTTCAACTCAGACATGATCATTTTGACTGAACACGTGACCTCTTTGTACTTATTTAAAATCTTTATAGATTTAATACTTCTAACTTTCAATATAGTGAGTATATCTTTACAAAATTTGGCAGTATTTCAGTTAATATTATAAGTCTTTCACATACAAAAAATCATATTTTTAGTGAAATATTTTCAGTAAAACAAAATAATGATTTGTCCATGAATATATTGAGTATTTGTTTTGAATAGTCCATGTGCAAAGTAATTTTGTTTTGAAAAGTCAATGTATAAAGCAATTTTCATGTTAAAATTAAAAATATTTTTCCTCATTCATAAATCTCAAATTTCCTTTGTCTAATCCTTAAAACTTCCTAAAAGCATTTCAAACGTTTTTTTTTCAGTAAAACTTTATAGTTTATCTGATATTTTCTCTACCAAATCTCAAAATGGGATCAGTCACATCAACCGACCTTGTACAAAAGAAAACAAAAAATCTAAATAAATCTAAATTACCCTTTTTTTCTTTCTAGAATGACTTTAAATTGTAACAAGAAACTGCATTGATTTATCCTAAGTAGCTCTAAGTTTGTAACAGAAAACATCTATTTATAACTAAATTTTATTGTTTTATTGCCCTTTGAACTATGTCTAACTACTATTCACACCATTATAAGTTTTAAATCACTTGGGAGACGTGTAGCTTACATTACGCTAATGAATTACATTACCAACGAGCTGCTCATGTATGTGCATTGTAAAACATTTTTATTATATTATTATTTATATTTTTTTACCTAATCTAATAGTAACTAACCTAAAAGGATCCTTATTTTTACATTTTACTTACTTTTATAATTATACATAAAGAATAAACATAAAGAAATAAAATACTTAACCAAACTTCTTTTTTTTTTGCCATTGATTGTCGAAGAGAGTTAACCCTAATTTTTTTATACTAATGAT